CAAAATCAAGACCTCCAAAATATGATGAAAATACTCATTGGACACCCTATGTAATCTCATTCAATGGACGGAAATAAAAAATCCAAGGCCTACTAAGCTGTAAATTTGCTGCGTTCGGCGAAACTCAACCGCGGACCATGAACGCGGGCCGAGTTTTATAATGCGACGTTATTGTGCTAAAAGGAACTATGTGCATAGAGTTTGCGTGTTATATAGTTCGTTTTGGCATAAAAACGCGCAATGGATACTCGTCTGATTAATTATCGGCCCGTTACGGGATCGCTTGATCGGATCGGTCAATGTGCAGTCTCCACTGCAGAGCGCGTCATGCCGGCCGGTAATTTCGTTTCGAGCCTCCCCCCCCCCCNGGTGGTGCCCCCACCGGTGCCCTGCCAATTGTTTTCCCACTTGTTCCGTCGGTCGCCCCCTTGTTCATCTAATAATAAGCGCCGGTCCGACCGACGTGCCGCCAGATGGCGCCGCGGCAACTAATCTTTTTCGAGAGATAATGTAACGAGAGACGTGTTTTGATTTGAATTTCTCGCTTACTATTTAGAGGGACTCTATTGAAAGAATATTGACCTGTTACTAGATGAATGGACGTAACTCCTTTGTAACGTTGCAAATTTGATAATTGAGGTGCTTGACAGACAAGGCACATAAGTGCGTGTTCTACTATATTTTAAGAAATGCGTGTTTGAAGTAGCGAAATTACATGGATCCTTAAGGCGGAAAGAAATTTCAAACTGATTTTTGTACTTAAAATCGGACTGTAAGACCGAATTTTTTTACAGAATGTGCATGATGACTAGTTTTACTTGACATCGTTCATAACTCATTTATTTCAAAATCTGCTCTTATGCTCCTCGTCCTCCAAGCTCCTCAATTCAATTATTCAAATTTTACAAGGATATGACTTTGCAATATGTGCGGTCCGAATTTTACTGATTCTAGCCTGGGATGAGGAGATAAATCAGTTGAAATGGGCCTGTTGCAAACTTTTGCTACAGCAAAAAAAGAGTTATTACTCTTACAAAATGTCTCAAAAATCACGATGAGCGCATCGGCAACTAATTATGTAATATAAGGTCTGTACTGTTATAACCCAAGGTACGCGTTATCTTGCAGTTGTTGTTTGTAAATCATGAGCTGGCTGCTCATATGGGCCTGATGGATTTTTGAACTTTCATTCATGTTTATACTCTCCCAATACACTATTCCATTATCGGTAGGAATTGATCCTTCGTTTATGCAAAACTGTCAAATAAATGTTTCTTAAGAACATAACACTTTCAATCAAACATAATTCAGACAAGACGCAAGTATTTTATCAAAATCGATTTTTACACGTGGTCATTAGAAATAAAAATTTAAAAACAAAAAACCACACAACACGCAAACACACTTTTAATTAAATCTACGGAAAAATCACAGTTCCCATTAAATGCATTTAAATCTGGTAAACGTAGTGCATCAACATAACGCCACAAAATGAGGTAACTTAAAGGATCGGTCAACATGTTCTACCAAATTAAGTTTCATTGAATTGTCCTCGATAAGTTTCCACCATAATTATCTGGCTATAGCCCACAACGATAACCAAGTAAGTGACATGATTAAAGTCCCAATTCTATAGCAGATACTAAGACGTGTTTACACTCATCACGTTAAAAGTTGTATGATATCCGTGAGAAAGTGGCTGAAAAAAGCCCGGAGCTATCAACACGCCCATAACCCGCGTCGCCGAGCGGTAGAGATATGAAACAATTTCCCCTGTGAGCAAAATAACTCAACGCGGGGTGAAAGGCAACTCTGCGGAGAAGTGAATAGAAAGTTCATGCCCTCAAACGACTTAGGCGTGACCGGGAGAGGGAGGGTGAGTTGACACTAGAGGGACGGAAGGGCGGTAGGAGGGTGTTTGACGAGTAGACACTTATCAGCGGGAAGTTAAGGGTAAACAAACATCGCGTACTTTGACTTCGCCTGAGCAAATAGGAGGCCGACGGCAAAAAATTGAAATATTAAATCTGTCGACGTGCGAGGGTCGATGTGATTGGAAATTGGGGGGATGGGGTACTTCGGCCTGTGCGTTTAC